GGTTAATCCGTTCTGAACCATATGTATTTTTTTTTTAACCACAAAAATATGAAACAAAGTACAGTACAGCACAGAAGAGAGAGAACGCTAACCTTGCTTGAGGCGACACCAAAAAGCTTCACAGCAAGTGTCTGTCTGCGACCGCGATCTCACCTACAGGAAGCCACGACCACGTGTCACAGCAGGGAAAATGGCCACAGGTCGTGTTCGTCACCCGATGCAGAGTTCGCGAACGGAAGCAAAGTTTTGCGAACGGTGCTGTTCGTGAACCGAATTGTTCGTGAACAGAAGCGTTCGTGAACTGAGGTATTACTGTACATGTGTCTTTAAGGCGAACTAAAAGGAGCAAAATGCATTGTGATGGCCAATGATCATGTTCTGCATTCAAACTTCTCTTTCAAACAGATGAGCACTGTTGGCATTACTGAAAACGTCAAAGGTGACAATAAGAAATTTGAGATCTGGTACAATGGCAGAGAAGAAGTTTATATTATTCAGGTATCACAGATTGTACTTTTCTTCATTTCCAGTTGTTGTTTTCCTGCTAATGTATTTTTGGTATTATTGATTCTTCTGGAATTACAGAAGGAGAAAATAAGAGTTAGGGCCAAGGCAAGACTAAAAAGGGAATAAGATTTTGCTTCCTCCCTTTGTAAGATTAATATTTGTTTCCTAGCCAGTAACTCCTGGTTCAAATTTTGTTGCAACTACCAATTCATTGAGCAGCTTTTGACAAGGTACTCTGCAGTAAAGATACCCTCAAGCAGAAGATGGAAGTGTGCTTAGACTTCCAGGGGGACTATTTTGCAAGGATCAGCAGGTGAAACCCAAAGGGATAAAAATGGTTAAATGAATAAATAGGAAAGGAAGGAATGGGAGATATATTAGATGCAAAACTTCCTAGCAGAACCCTTGCCTGAATTTCTTGCAATTGTTATGTATCCTGTTTTTCAGGCAGCATCTATGGAATTGAAGAATACTTGGGTGTCAGAGATTAGGAAAGTCCTAACAGGACAACTGGAAGCTTGCAGAGGTAAGACGCTGTATGAAGGTGATTGTAGCTGTAAAACACATCAGTACTGCACATTCTTTCCTTTTCGGAAAGCTGTAGAAACATGTTCCAGACTGCACTGGAGTGCATCAAGACACCACAAGAGGATCAGTAAGTGTGCCAAAAATATATATAAATCAGTTGTATTCTTAATCATCCCTTTGAACCCACAGAACAAGCACAGAGGGGTCTGTGTCTCTCTCCCTGTATGAGAGATGCAGAATGCAAATACACCCTGGTCTTGTGTTTTTCTGATCAACCAGGGTATATGTTAATTTTGCTGCATCTCTTCCCTGACTGGATCATTCTGTCCTTTCCGTGCAATGATATGGAATGCTGCTAGTTACCATCAACCACCCTACATTAGTAAACCCTGAACTGTACTTGGAGCTTGACTTCTTGAGAGTCTACAATGGCCTGGTTTTTGGAGATAATGGGTGAGCAAGAGGGATGCAAGAAGTCTGAATTACTTGTACCCAGAATGGGGAGCCCATGTTCCAGAAAGAGACCAATTAATTTGTCTCTCCAGGGATTTGGTAGAAGCAGGAGCATAGCAATCATTCCTGTTTTTCTTGTGAAATTCAACAGAAGGGAGCAGGGAGAGACAAACTATGGAGAATGGAAAACTCTCACAAATTACTCCATCCCCAACTACCGTCAGGGGTGTCTGCAGGAGCCAAAAAAGTCAAGATGGCACTTATGGCTGCATGATCAAAGCCCCACCCCTCTTTTGCATGTGTTCCTCATGTGATACATCTTAAAACGTGATGGAGCTTTCATTGCGCAGAGGCCACCCTGTCTTTTTTCATGCCTGCTCCAGATGCCTCTGATCTAAGGTAATTAAAAAGTCAGAAAGAAGAAGAAGCAGTCTTATTTCTAAGCTGCAGAGCATTTTTTTAAACAGCTATCCCAAGATTTATTTTTAAATTTTATTTGTGCGATGTTGCTGCCTCCTTAATCAAAGCAGGCTTCAGGCAGTATGCAGATATTTAAATATCTTTACAATAAAACAACAACAATAATCACAATAACACTAAATCCAAACTTAGGATAAGGCAAATGGTTCCACGGTCATCTGTCACCAATAGCCTTGAAGAACTTTCAAGTTTTTAATAGCATCTGGAAAGGCATGGGAGTAAAGGACACTTTTATCTCAGAGACAAGCTGTTTCAGAGTGACTGCCCACTTTTGGGTCCACTGATCCGAGGGGACATTCAGCAGGTGTCTCATCACCCAGATCAGACTGGCAGAATACATTTTAGAAAGATGGCCTCTTAGTTATCCAAACCTTGAGTTCTGTAGGGCTTCAAATGTAGTGACCAGCATCTGGAATTGCACTGGCGGTCCTAACGACACTGGTGTGACACGGCAGTGCTGCACAGGCCGGGAAGTATGTGGGCGGCTGCATTTTGTGTCTTCAAGGACAGCTCAATGTAAAGGCAATTACAGCAGTCTAACCATGAGATGACAAGGATGTGAAGGACTGTCTTCAGTACATCTTGAGGTGAGGCCCCCAACTATGCCTCCTGGCCATAGCTTCCACCAACTCTTTATACACACACACGCACACAATCTATATACATGCAATATATATTTCTATACAATAAAAGTATAGAAAATTAAAGAGAAAACATGAAAGAACAAAAAGAAGATAGAAAAAAAGAGAAAAAGTGAGAAAAATAAGAAAACATAGGATTATTACTTCTGCCCTTCTCTCCACCAAGGAATTGCCATCTTAATTCCCCTCCCCACTTTAACTCTTTTTAATCCCCAAATCCATAAATCATCAGTTCAGTCTTTCCTTCTTTCAACAAAATGTCCATAAATTTCCACCAACTCTTCAAGGTGGTTAATGCTATGCTTGTGTGTGCAAATGTGTGTGCATCCTGTCTAGCCGTTTTTCCTCACTTCTCACCCTAGCCCAGACCACCTTCTCTGAAATGAAGCTACGCTCCACTCTTCTTCTGAGGCAATACAGCCTCATGAAGCTGCTGAGTTGATTTTTCCCTCCCCTGTAGACACCAAAGATTTCTATTTTGTGGAGCACAAGACACTATTTAAAACTGTTCTCTCCCATGTGTTCCCTCCACTCCCTACTGTTGAGCCCAGCCCAGCCCTTGGGACATATGTTTAGTCAAACTGCAGCTGCTCAGATATTCTGCATTGATCTGACTGCTGGCTTGATTCTGTACCAGCTGTGGCAAAGTGGGAGGAGGGTCCTCTGTGCCCTTCCTGGCTACTTTTATCCCCCAGGAATTAATGCTAAGGCAATCTTAGAAATCGTAGGCAAGGGATCGGTATCATTAAGATATCACTCTCCCTTGGCTGGTCTGAAATCACTGTAAAAGAAATTCCCACCAAGTAATCATGATTCGTGATAACTGCCCACTGAATTTCCATTTTTTCCCTCAAAAATAGAATACGTTTGGCCAAATTTCAGATTGGGGCTGAGAAAAGCTCTCCATTGCTCTAACCAGTATTTTTCAAACTTGGGAACTTTAAGATGTGTGGACTTCAACTCCCAGTTAAGAAGGTCTAGGCCCTTGAGAAATTCGCAGTTCAGAAGCATCTTATAAGCTACTTCTGGCTCAGTTGGCCTTTCACCTGTCTTGGGAGGGATCTTTTCCAATACTCCATAATTGGAACTCACCTGCTAGGCTAACCAAGGAAGAACATGTTGTTCCTCTGATCCAGGAATTGTCATATTTGCCTTTTTATAGCTGCTCCACCAGCACTCGTGTTTTCTCTCTTAGCATTTCCCATCTGATGGGAGAAAGTCCCCAAAAAACATGTTTGAGATACTAAGATCTGCTTCTTGGAGATGAGTTTTTACTGTTGTCAAATGGGATGAGTGATCCTCCCAACTTGGACTGAAAATGATAACGATAATCCTTTAACCGTTCTTCATAGCATTTAGTCTCTGAGCCCCTCGCCATCCTTGTCACTCTTCTCTGCACTCTTTTCAGTTGCTCAGCAACCTTCTTGTATTCTGGCGACTTAAACTGGACACAGTATTCCCAGTGTTCCCATGAACTTGACGCTATACCTCTATTGATGCAGCCCCAGTTGCGCTGGCTTTTTTGGCAGGGCAGCACACTGCTGGCTCATGCTTAATTTGTGGACTACCAGGAGACCCAGTTGTATCCTTTCAGCCAGAATTCTTCCAGACAGATTCATAGACACCCCTAACAAGGTGATTCTTTGGTAGTTTTAACTTCTTTCTTCTCCGCTTTCCTTTTATATAGGGAAACAATAACACCATTTTTCCGATTGCCGAATAGACATGCAGTTTTCACACAAATATTAATTATGTCGCATAGCCATTCCATTAACAAACCCCACTCATATTTTAGCATTTCTTCCTTACACCATCAATACATCCCAGAGCACTGACAACTTCTTTTTCAACATTTATTTTCTTGTTTACTAACATTTATAGCATTTGCTTCAATTTCAGCCTTCAACATATCTCTGTTATCACAAATCTCTAAAATACTCCTTCCAACATTTGCTCAGTCTCTTTTCATCCAAATAATTTTCATTACTCTTATTTTTAATTCAATTTGCTCTTCTAGAAACTCCTTATTTAGTCCTTTTCTCCCACTTCCCAAACAGTTTTTGCTCTTCCTTTTCTCTGCCTCATTTAATCTTAACCATTCCTTACTCTCTTTGATTGCATCCTTGGCAACTATCTTTTTTTTATCTTCACACACATTATATAATCCTTTCATCCTAATTTTTCAACAGGTTATGGGGAAAGGAAAAAGGAGATCAGGATTCCTGCTGGTAGGAAGGACCTTTTACACACATACACAAATTGTAATGGTATGTGGGAGTGACCTTGGGAGACAGGGCGAAGAGACACCGGCAAGGGAACAATAAGAGGCAGCTGAGCCTGCAGCAGGAATGGGGATATGGCAAACATCTCAAAAGGGTCCCTCCCTAGTTTCTTGGGCTGCAAAGGTGAGGGGGGAGAAATGTACTTTTGGACTTGCAAGATTCTGTTAATGTAACCTTGAGATAGAGCTAGTACTCCTGGGTGTGCTTCTTATCTGGACTATCTTGCAAGGCTGAGACAAGTAGAATAAAAAAGTAGCAAGGACAGAACAGCATCATATAAATTAATGAAAATCCTCCTAATTGATTCTAGCTCGTTGTTTCCCTAGATGACCAATTTCTTCTGATTCATCAGTCCTCTTTCCATGATGGGAGTGGTTGGTCCTTTCCTGGCAGAGGCCAGCTGGAAGAGATCCCTCTTCTATTGGAGATTCCCTATGCCTATTATGGAAAATAAGGAACAAAGGTTCCCCCCCTCCTCACCAGCCTAACCCTTTGGAAAAGCTCACCTGACAAGGGGGTGGGGGGGAGAGAAACTTCTTCCTGGTTGATTGCACAGAGTTTGAGTCTCCTGGGTTTTGCTATCTCTAGCTGCTACCTAGAATGATTGATTACCTCTTTCATTTCTGACCCCTGGGAAATGTTTCTCTCCTGACCTACAACAGCCTATCTAAATATACCTTAAGAGCTATTCCACCCTTGTGCTCGCAGAGTTCCTACTTTTGAGCCCAGCTGTAGCTGTTTGGAAATTCAGCTGAATCAACATCTTATTAAGCTATCCATCATGACCTCCATATTTTTTCCTCGGTTAGTGTCAGTTGATTGGGTCAGTTAAATCCTTTGTGGTGTCCCATAGTACACTTAACCCCCAAATTGTCCCAGTTAAGTATGTCATGACAACAGAGCCATTCTCTATGCCCATAAAATCCAATGCATTTAAATCTACCTTACCTAGTCAATTTCCAGGATAAACTATAGTTTATGACACTACAATTTGGGCATATATAGGTGGTTTTTCAAATATAGAGGCTGTGAGCCCCACAAGGTAGACCAGACTAAGAAACCAATGTCATTTGGTCAGGACTATTTTTATTGTAACAGCTATAAAAACAGAATCTTGTAAATCTAAATGTGCTTCCCCTCTCCCTCCCTTTATCTTCATGTGAATGAGAGAGGGGCTTGTCTGAAACATTTTCTCAAGATAGTTTCTTGGAAAGGACTCAAGCCCCTCTTATCTGATTATTGCCTTAACAGTGGCTCTTCCTCCCCTCCTTCAAGGCCATTCCCTATGCCCTCTACACCAGCCAAAGTCAAGCATAAAACATGTTGTAGATCATGTTTGAATATTGACAGATGTTGTAGGCAAAGCAGTCCTACTTCTGCATGTACCATTGCATGATCCAGCCCAGTGATGCTTTTAATAGTGGTCTGAGCTTTTCTAGAAGACCCTTGGCCAAACTATGTATTGTATTAGACAGCAAACAATAACAGTTCACTGCCTCTTCCCATTGGGAACAAGACTGCAGGGTCCACCAACTGTTTCCATGTTAACTTACAGTGAGTGATGTACTTTTTTTACCCATGGCAGAATTAGCTCTGGAAATTTTCCAAATATGTTGGAAAAGCAGGAAAACATGTTGGGTTCCTGAGCCTACTTGCCCTGCCAAGGACAGAATATTACAGCAAAACCAGACCATGCATGTTGCAATTCAACAAAAAATAAATGAGTGAATTTAAACCCTTCCAGTGCCAGGAGCTATGGGTGGTGAGAAACAAATTTCTCATCTCTGAAGGATCTTGAACTTTCAGATTCAAAGCCAGGCAACTGTTCCTATCTCTTCCTCTCCCCCCCCCCCCCCCCCCCAAGTTTAGGTCACAAGCTGGAAACTGCAGCTTCCAGATATTGTTACCCTGCAAATCCCATCTTCTCTGGTCATCTTGGGTGGGCTGATGGGAATTGGTGCCCTACCAAATCTGGAGGGCCAAAAATTCCCCAACAATGGTACATGCAATGTGGAAAAAGCCATACATGTATGTTTATCAAGGAAATGAAATGCTTTTCTCATTACCACACCACCTGGAGAATAATAGCAGTTAGTTAAACTTTGACATTTCTATTATGGATGAATTCATAGATAACCTTGAAGAAGGTATGCAGAAACAGTTAAGGCAAAATAGGAGATAACTCAGTCCTAGAGAAGAAGAAGATGTGAAAAAGAAACTCAAAACAATCCACCTTGAATGTGTTTGGGATAAGAGGGTGCCGAAGGAAACTCTGTCAGGCTTTTAAGAATCGATTATTATAATACCCTTCAACAATAAAGTAGAATTCCTGTAATTCTTGCAGTGTCTGTTTCATGACTGTCAACTTCAAAGGACTGACATATGGTACTACCACCATCTAGTAATTTTTCCTAGGAATATACCTGTTAAAGAGGGGCTTCTCGGTCCAGGATCAGTGACTTTCACCATGTGGTAATGATTTTTGCCCCAATGCCTACCGTGATGGAAGAAGTTATTGAAAGATGACTAGGTATATTTTATCATTATTATGTGGAGCACTGAAGTCCAAGAATTCCGTGGAGATAAAAATGTATAGGACAATCCACCATCTAATTCCATCATTATTTTCCTTTCCCCACTATTCATAAAGCACTGATTGGACACTCAGCTGATTCATCCCTTCAGCTCATGCTAAAGTTGTAATGGTGTGATGGAATGGAATTATGAAGGCCAAGCTCAGGGAGACAAACATTTTCTTAGCTCGCCAGAACCGTGTGGGAGGAATAAGAGGATGAGACCAGCACCTCCCTGAGGAATTCACACTGTTGTGGCTGGAGGTCTTTGGGAACTGGGGTTTTAG